CCCCAAAACCCCAAAACCCCAAAACCCCAAAACCCCTAACAATAAGTGAGAGCTTGAGTTATAATATATTAAAATGAGTATTGAGGTTCCCATAAAAGATGGCTCTGAAACTGATTTACAGATGTCTGAATCTATTGATATTACATTCTATGGCTACATTGCGTATTATAGCATCATCGTAATGGTCTGATCGTTCCTAATAGTAACCCATTCGTTAAGGCTCGTAAGAGAATTCAAAAGAAATCTAAAGGACATTTTTAGGATAATTCAGATCTTCCTGTTGATCGAATACTTGGTATCACTAATGATCATCGATGGAGTGAGATTTATTAATAACTTTAAGTATTATACCAAGTCGACCTTTGCTTACACCTTGGTTGGCTTCTATTTATCAGACCTTACAAATATAACTTGTTGGGTGACTCTGAGTATTCACACGAAGTACTATACAAACAGAGAAGGTCAACCGAGAAATAATTGAGAAATAGAACCGATTCAGATGGAACTTAAATTGAGGAAAATTAGGAAATATGAGTACTTCATCATGCTCCTGGTGATCACCTACATTGTAGTTTCTTGTACTGCTATTTTGGGATTTAATATCAGTTATTATATTTTCTACGATTGTTCAGATTGTAGTGAACACCATAACTCTTTGGAGCAAAATTGTGAAAGCAAATGCTTAAAGGCGTATCAAATGTATCAATACCTTTCCAACTCTACCTCAATTATTGGAGCTGTGGTAGTAATTCTAAAAGTGATGGTGACGTGGTATGTGCTTTACTTGCTCAAAAATCATCTCAATTTTTATTATAAACTCAAGAAGAACAAAATCATAGCTGCGATGTTTCTATCTATAGCTGCTAATATCACGATGGTGTTGTATAGCTTCGTTCCTATGTTCTCAAGAATTGATTTGAAAAGCCATTACGATGATAAAATTTCAATGAGTTTAGTGCAATTGTCGTATGGAATAATCCTACCACTCATCTTCAGGCTTTTACCAATATTTTTACTCGTCGTTAACATCCAGGGGATGTACTTTTTATCTTATATGAAGAATATAATGAAGGGGTGAAACATTGGAAATTATCTTAAGGATGCCTCTATTTTTATCAGATCTAGTAAGAAGTGCAGGTGCTTCGAAGATGAGAGTGAAAAGTCCTGAATCATGACTAATAATAAATCCTGTTTGCTCATGGAAGATAATGAAGATTCACATGAGGCTTCTTGCCATAGTAAAAATTCATTTTGAAATACCCATGCTAATAGGTAATTTGTGTAAATTATATTTTAGCCTTATAATTTCAGAAGTATGCACAGAAAATTCAGAAAATTTTGACCTCTACAAGAAAGAGTATGAAAATTTTATGAGATCAGATAAAAACCTTTGATCCACTTTTAGAGAGGATTATAGCTCTGCTTATTAACCTAATTTTTTATTTTCAATCCAATAAGAAAGCATTGGGGTTTTGGGGTTTTGGGGTTTTGGGGTTTTGGGGTTTTGGGG